CCATTTCTGTCTTTTTTCCTTCTGGGACCCCCACAATGTATATGTTGGTCCACTTGGTGTCCTACAGGTGTCCCTTAGGCTCTGTTCACTTTTCTTCCAAGTTTTTTCTGTTCCTCAAATTCAGGTTTTGTTTTTTGTTTTTTTTTTTCTGTTTTCAAGTTTGTTAATTCTTCTGCCGATTGATATCTGCCTTTGCATCCCTATGGAGAGTTTTTCCTTTTAGGTATGGTACTTTTCTCCTGCTGAATTTTTGTTTGGTTTCTTCTTAGGTTTTCTATCTCTTTATAGATATTTCTATTTTGTTGATAATATTATTTTCTTGACGTTCTCTACACCTTCCTTCAGTTCTTGAGCATCTATGTGATACTTGTTTTAAAGTCTGTCTAGTAGAGGGGTGCCTGAGTGGCTCAGTGGGTTAAGTGTCTGCCTTTGGGTCAGGTCATGATCCCAGAGTCCTGGGATTGAGGACTTCTCCCTTTGCTCCTCATCCCACTTGTGCTCTCTCGCTTGCACTCTCTCTCAAATAAATGAAATCTTAAAAAAAAAAAAAAATCTAGTAGATCTGTCATCAGGTGTTTTTAAGGAATAGTTTTGTAAACTTATTTTTTTGTCCTTTGGGCCATATCTTCCTGTTTCTTTGTATGCCTTGTGATTTCTCATTAAAATCTGGATATTTGGATATAATAATGTGATACCTGTAGAAATGAAATTCACCCCTATTCCTATGGTTTTCTGGTTTTTTTTTTTTTTTTAAATGTTTTTGGTTATTATTTTTCATTATTATAGGATGTCCTAGTCCAAGGATCAGCCTGAGGTGTAAATGTAAGGTATTCTCAGGTCTTTTCTAAGCCCGAGTCTATTCCTTTCCCTGAACATGTGTGGTTACATTCTTATTTTTCCTGTGTATGGAGTTGCTTTTGAATGTCCTAGTCTTTAATCTTTTGCTCACAAAAGAGGAGAGGAGAATAATGAATGGGGGGCAAAAATAAAAAAGGTTGTGAGTCCTTTAAATGCCCTGGATGTCACATCAGCTGGAGAGGAAGGGGCTTGCAACAGTGGAGAAAGGTGCAGCAACCACGGACCATCCTTCTCTCTTTGATCAGGAGCAGTAATCAGCCTTTAGACTACAGATCTCCAAATGTTTGGAGGATGGGTCCTTTTTTTCCCACCTTGGCTCTGGCAAGTTGAGTGCAAGCCACTCCAGGAGTAAGTGCACGGCTGACTGCCATGGGCCTGAGAATAGGGGATGGAGAGCTGCTACTGTGTTAAGAGCTAATATTGATGTAAATGAAGTTTAGTTTACTTTCAAGCTTTCCTCTGCAAGTTGCAAGTCCTCACAGGGTTCCAGAGTTTCAGAATATTTACATTAGGCACATTTCACCTATTCAGTTGTTACCTAACTAGGAAAACAGATTCTTGGTGTTTTCTATTCTGCCATTTTCCCCAGAATCCTCTCTTTCAGTCCTTCCTTTGCTAAGTCTCCTAGGTTTTTGCCTTTTAAAAGTTATTTTCATCTTATCAAAATAATATATATAGCTTTAAAAGTTATTAAGTAATATAGTACCCATAATTTAAAAAATTCTGTCTTCTGGCTTAGACCCTAAGCCTACTCCATATAGACCCATTTCAAGTTTTAAGGTGTTTCTTGTGTTTATCTCTGTATTGCTGCATAAGGTGATTACACCTCTATTACTTGATTTACGGACTATAAGGTTGACCCATTTTTCTGTCTTTGCAGTATAATTGCGTGCTTGGTTAAATCAGTATTCATTGTTTATATTATCATGGCTACATCTCAGTGCTTACTACTGAGCCAAATAGTATATATACTCTGATTACATGTGTTTATTTACTTGGCAATAGTAGATGAATGTGGGTGTAATTATATTTATTTATTATATAGAACTTTTTCTTAATGTGTCTGGTTTCGATGTGATGGATCTTCCTTCCCTGTATCTTTAAGTACATAGTTTCAGAGTCTAGTCGCGTTTATTTTCTTTACAATAAATTCTTCCTTCACACTAGAATGGGAAAGGGATAGTTGCTTGGCTATGTGGACTAGGAGAGGGAAGATACCTGGAAGTCTGCCTACTAATTAAACAGATTTAAGCTAATCCTTTTATTATCATCCTCTCCTTGCCATTTCTTTTCTGAGGACTCTGTTTTTTTTCCTTTAAGATTTTACTCATTTGAGAGAGGGAGAGTGAGAGAGAGAGCACAAGCAAGGGGAGCAGCAGACGCCCTGCTGAGCAGGGAGCCTGACGTTGGGGATCATGACTTGAGCTGAAGGCAGACGCTTAACCAACTGAGCCACCCAAGCGCCCCATGAGGACTCTAGTTTCTGAATCTTTCCAGGGTTCTGGTTTTTGTCTCATTTTTATTATTGGCATCTCTATAGGCATTTAGGATTGAATTTCTTCATCTTCTGCTAAGTAGGTTAAGACTGTCTGCCTTTCAGCTTCTAAAATTTTGAGGGTATCTCTTATCTATTTTGTTTCCTATATTTTTTCTTTTGGCCTTGGGGATTTGTCTATTTTTCTTAACTTTTGCATTAGTGGGGTTTTACTGAGAAGTGAAGAAATGGATAACAATCCACCATGTTTAATCAGAAGTCCCTCCTATTTTTATGTAGGTCTAAAATAGAAATGTTTATGCTTAAAATTCATTAGTGATAGCTTATCATCAGGTAGAAGTTTAAACTGTTCAGCATGACACATAAAAGTTCATAGGTTTTGAATTCTGTCTACCTCTTCAGCCTCGTTACTGGCCCCACCTCTTTCTCTTCTATTCTTTGTTCTAGCCATACTGATCTATTAGTTTATTGAATGTATCAATTTCTCTTTATATTTCTGTGAATATATCTCACTTTCTACTTTAATATACAATTGTGAGTTACCAGCATTAGGAGGATAGTTGAAGCTATAAAGTGCAGATGAGATTCTCTGAAGCAGAAGTGTAGGAGGAGAACAGAAGCAATTGTGGGACTGAGCCTTAAGGAAATCCAGCATTTAATGATTGTATTAGAGGAGGAACGCAGAAAAAGAAGATCAAGAAAGAGTGATTAGATAAGTAGAAATTGGGAGATTATAATTTCATGGGAAAAGAGTGTTTTAGGAAGCAAAGAATGTGTTAGATCCTAACAAGGTATCAGGTAAAGTGAGGGTAAAGAAATCATTTTATTCATGTCATGCATATCATGGGTCCTTGAGTGATGATTACAGGTTCTTCCAAAGTTGGAGGTGAGGTCCTCTCAGAGTAAAGAGAGCATTGGAAGGGTCATTAGACCTTTGAGGAGAATCCAAAAGAATTTTGAGATAATTGTTACGGAGCGTGTGACCAAGTGGAATGGAGAAATGTAAGGTTGCTGTTGGGGTGAAGTTGGTGATACCTAATTTACAGTCATTACAGTCTCTCCTGTTGTGATTTGTCTCCTCCTGTCCTTAACTGGCAAGGTGTAAATATGTTTATGTAAAAAGTAGATAGTTGGGGGGCGCCTGGGTGGCTCAGTCGTTAAGCGTCTGCCTTAGGCTCAGGTCGTGATCCCGGGGTCCTGGGATCGAGCCCCGCATCGGGCTCCTGCTTTGTGGGAAGCCTGCTTCTCCCTCTCCCACTCCCCCTGCTTGTGTTCCCTCTCTCGCTGTGTCTCTGTCAAATAAATAAAAAATCTTTAAAAAGTAGATAGTTGGGTTTATTCAGAGTTGGAGCTTTTCCTCTGTGAGGAAAATGAGAAAAAAGAACAAAAGAGTTTAAAGAGTTGGTGAAATAATAGGTTATGGAATCTGAGCAGGATAAGGAATTTGGAAGGAAACTACTGGATGTAGTGGATGGATGGGGAAAAGGAAGGGGAAAGGAAGATTTTGCATTGAATCGAATGAGTAGATTCATAGAGTAAAGGATTTTGTTAGGATGTGGTAATCAAAGGTCAAATCCTGTCTTCAAAGAGCTTATATTTTATTAATTCTAAAGCCCTTTTATAGTTAAGGTATTTACTGATCTGTTCACTGAATCTTGGATTTGATTTAAATATATCTTCATCAGCTTGTCCTTCTGGGCCAGTTGAATTAGGGAGTAGTAGGTCATTAGAAGAAAAGACAGATAATATGTATGTATGGGTGGAACAGGACTAGAAATAGGAAATGAGATAGTTCTCATTGGCATTTTCAAATGGGGGAAAAGGGTATAGTAACTTGTTATCAAAGGTGTATGTTTTTTCTATTTATCTTGGAGATAGAGCAGGGGGAGGGGCATCGGGAGAGGAGAGAGAATCCTTGGGCAGACTCTGAGCACAGAGCCCAGTGCAGAGTTTGATCCCAGGACCCCTGAGGTCATGACCAGAGCCGAAATCAAGAGTTGGATGCTCAGCGGACTGAGCCATCCAGGCGCCCCTCAAAGACATGTTAAAAAAAGAAATTAGGAACCTCAATCCTTTATTCTTTCTATTCCCTTGGAAAGTTTTGAAACTGGAAACAGTTAATAGCTTTTTTAGAAAATGAGACGAATGATGAACTTCGTTCCCTTGAAAGGAGAAAGAGAAAGAATCTTATATCTTCATGTTGGGTTCATCAGGAAGAGACGCATAGTTAACTATTTTAAACATCAAACCACATACAACTGGTGATAGTATCACTAATTTTAAGGGAGATGCCTACTTCCTGCTGTTACTGGCTTTTCTAAATTAAGCCCATTATAATTCTTATCTAATAATCTTCATTGTTTTCCAAATTTTTACGTACTCAGGTATAGTTAACAGAAGTTGTAAAATTTAATGGCAGTAAGTTTTACATGGTTGGCTTTAGTTTCATTAAAAAAAAACATTTTTAAAACTGGTTGCCTTTGAAAGTTTATTGGTATGGAAGACTCGGGGAAAGCAGGCTCTTAGTGTTTTGTTTACAAATACAGATTTTTTTCTTTAACATGGTGATGTTTATGTTACCTCGAAATGTGAATACTTATACAGTGTGTTTTTCATTCAAGTTAAAAAAAAATATTTGCTATTGTAGAAAAACTTCGGGTGGAGAAACAGGACACTTTTACAGAAAAATTAATTACTCAGATCATAAAAAATCTTCAAGTGAAAATTTCCAACATCCATATTCGTTATGAGGATGATGTAAGTATTTTAATAGGTGAAACTTTTTTTTATGTTGTGATTTATGTTTTATTGTTTGTTGACATCTGCTCTGTAGTGGTCAACCACTGATGCTGAGAAGTGGAGGGACACAGCTGAAAATGACTTGATCTTTTCTGTAATTATAGTTTTAATTTGCAGGGTTTACTGCCTTGATTACACTTTCCTAAAATGTTCAAAAATCAGATAATGAAGGAAAATGCCTTTTTATATTACGGTCATTTTTGATAGTTGGGCATTATGAATTTAGCAGTTGTGTATTTTTAAAATTCCTTATATTTACCTCCTGGAAATTACACTGGTGTATGAATCAGTAGAGCTAGATTTAGATTATCTCAAATAGATCCTGTATTCTCTCTGAAATGCAAAATTATTAACTTCTCAAGTACTATTGTGAGGTCAACTTACCAATAAGCTTTTTTTATAAACAAAAATATGCAGATTTATTGTACAATAATACATTGATACTTGATATTTTAATTAGTATTTGGAAAAATATAGGATTAAAAGTTGTAGAAAGTAGAAAAATGGTTTTGAATGTTTGAAATAGAATATTTCCCAGAGAATGAACTTCTTTGATAAAGTGAATTTTAACTACTAAAAGTCTGAGTAAAATTTGCTCTTTCCTCTTTAGATCACAAATCGAGACAATCCACTGTCATTTGGTATTTCCCTTCAAAATCTCAGCATGCAGGTACTTTGAAAAGAAATTTAACCCTATTTAATTGTGTAGTATAGTTCATCTAACTATTAATTACTATTTGTGTGCCAGCATCAGAAGTAGTTGTCTATATAGAATTAGTACAGAAATTGCATAGGCTGTATTGGAACTGGGGGTAGGTAGTTCAGCATTTCAAAAAATGGTTGATAATCAAATTTAGTTTAAAATAGGAGGGCCTATTTGCAAATTAGAGCATTTGATACTTTTTTTCTTAAAAATACGTTGCTTAAATAAGTAGAAAGTAAAAGTAATGTTTATTTCAGAAACTTTGATAAGTCATGAAAAGCATAAAGAAACAAATCACTCATTTCCTCACCACCATTATTAATATTGTGGCAAACTTTCTTCCTGTCCAGTTTTACAAACTGATGAATTTTTAAAGCCTAAGAGCAAATAGAGGATTATGAAACACTGGCTTGTGTCCACAATGGACAGTTGTGGAATTTGTCATTTGGTTTAAGTTTTAAATACTTTATTTTAAAGAATAAACTGTTAGGATTAAAGTTTATATCTATTTTGTTTTCTACTCTTCACCCTTCTCTCAGAGATAAACATCCTAAGTAATATTTTATGTGATTTTTTCTATAGATTTTCATTTTTCTCGTCAGTGTTTTTGACATTTGCTTGTGTTGCTATACATAATTCAGTTTAATTGCTGTGTAGTATTTCATTACCTGCTTTTATTTGTTGTATCCATTGGGTTTTTGTATATAATTTTTTTCTTAAAACATGGATCCACTACAAGCAAAATAAGTAAGAAAAACCAAATGAAAAGTTATTGAATGGAGTCGGGTGGGATAAACTGTCAAATGCTGCTGTAAGTTTGAAAAATAAGGATGGAGAATTAGCCACTGGCTGTGGCAATGTGGAAGTAATGGGTAACTGTGACAGCAGTGGTATTGACCATCACCTTTGGGAGACCTTGGAAACTGGTGTCCTAGCCCAGACCTATTCAGTTAGAAACTCAGGTGGGGACCCAGCAACCCTAAGTTTTAGAAAGCCCTTCAGGTGATTTTGATGCACACTCAAGTTCGAAAACTTTTGTCATCTCTTCAGTTGTCTACCAAAAAAATGAAAACCATCTTTGCAGAATAAGCATCTAAACACTTAATTCACCTCAGTGGCTTCTCAGTATTACTGGGATAAAGTCAGTAGTTTTGTTTTAAAATAGTTTATAATCGCTTTGTAATCTCACCCTAGGTAACATCTGGTTTCACCTCTTTGCTTTATGTTCTCTGGCCATATGAGGCTTCTTCAGTTCCCTGAACGTTTTGCATATTTGCATATTTTCCTACTCTGAATCATATTCCCTACTGACCTTAAAATCAACAATTTCTATTCATATATCATATATTGGACATCACTTATTCTGAGAACTATGTATTTAACCTCTAAGGTGGCACTTACCTATTTTTTTATTATGTTAATTACCATACATCATTAGTTTTTTTAAAGATTTTATTTATTTATTTGAGAGAGAGAGAATGAGAGATAGCACGAGAGGGAAGAGGGTCAGAGGGAGAAGCAGACTCCCTGCTGAGCAGGGAGCCCGATGTGGGGCTCGATCCCGGGACTCCAGGATCATGACCTGAGCCGAAGGCAGTCGCTTAACCAACTCAGGCGCCCTCAGATCACCCAGGCGCCCCATCATTAGTTTTTGATGTAGTGTTCCATGATTCATTGTTCGTGTATTACACCCAGTTCTCCATTCAGTATGTGCCCTCTTTAATACCCATCACCAGGCTAACCCATCCCCCCACCTGCACTTACCTATTTGTAATTGCTTGTTTACTTGTCTGCTTTTTCATTCAGCAGTGAGCCCTTTGAAAGCAAAGGCTTTCTTGTAGTCAGTTAATATTCTTTCACTGAATGTTTTCAAGAACATTTTTATGGGACATTGGTCAAGGGCATGGTTGGTACAATTTATCAGTCTGCCATTTCACATGTAAATAATATTTTCACTGTTTTTTACTTTTCTTTTTAGACAACTGATCAAAACTGGGTTCCGTGTTTACATGATGAAACTGAGAAACTATTTTGTAAGGTAAAATATTTTGTCAATCCAGATGAAAGAGACTTAGAAAGGCAAATGGTAACATATATAGATAAGGATTTCTGTGAATTGTGTTTACTTGCTTAAGTCTATCATATGACTCAATTATTTGAGACTTATGAAAATAGCATATGTTAAAGAAGAAAACGAGACATGTAATAAATTTGATTTATTTTCAGTTAATCCGATTGGATAACCTTTTTGCCTATTGGAATGTGAAGTCTCAGTTGTTTTACCTTAATGATTATGATGAATCATTGGTAAGTAAATCTTTTTGATATGTGTATGTACACCTTTGTTGGTATCCTATTTTGCATAAGGTTTTATTCATTATCATTTATTAACATACTCTAGTCTGTGGTCTTTTTTCCTAGGCAAAATCCATTAAAATTTACAGAAATAGCTGAATATATATGTGCCTGTACACAAACATGTATAGATCTTTTTTTGTATAATTGACATGCAGCATTAGTATATATTAGTCCTATGTGTGCACTGTAATGGTTCAGTATCTGTACATAATGTGGAATGATCACAGTAGGTCTCACATCCATTACCATACATAGTTAATTACGGAACATTTTCTTTGGATGAGTACTTTTAAGATTTACTCTCTGAGCAACGTTGAAATATGTAGTATTGTTAACTGTAGTTGCCATGCTGTACAATACATACATTTCCATGACTGACTTACTGTATAACTAGAAGTTCTTAACCTTTTGACTCCCTTTACACTCCCTTGCATATCTCTCACTCCACCTCAGACAGACATTGGTCTGTTCTCCGTATGTGAGTATGAGCTTGGCTTCTTTTTGTTTTTTTATTTTTAAAGTATTCCACATAAAAGTGAGGTCAGATGGTATTTGTCTGACTTATTTCACTTAGCATAAGGCTGTCAAATTTCATCCTTATTGCAAATGGCAAGATTTCCTTTTTAATGGCTGAATAATGTGTGTGTGTGTGTGTGTGTGTGAGAGAGAGAGAGAGAGAGAGAATATTTTCTTTATCCATCTATCCATGGATGTTTAGGTGGTTTCCATATCTTGGCTATTATAGTTAATGCTGCATTGAACATGGAGGTGCATGTATCTTTTCTAGTTCATGTTTTTCTTTTAATAAATATTTAGAAGTGAAATTGCTGGATCGTATGGTAGTTCTTTTAATTTTTTGAGGACCCTCATACTGTTTTTCCATAGGGAATTGCATCAGTTTACATTTCCACCAATAGTGCATAGGAATTTCCTTTTCTCCACATCCTTGCCAACACTTATTATTTCTTGTTTTTTTGTTTTGTTTTTTTTTAATAACCATTTTAACAGGTGATAGCTCATGCTTTTGATTTGTGATTTCCCTGATAATGGTGTTGAGTACCTTTTCATGTACCTGATGGCTATCTGTATGTTCGAAAAATATCTCTTCAGTTCCTCTCCAATTTTTAAATTGTTTTTCTGAAATTGGGTTGTATGAGTTCTTTATGTATTTTGGATAATGACCCCTTATCGGATAAATGATTTGCAAATGTTTTCTCCTATTCAGTAGTTTGCCTTTTCATTATGTTGATGGTTTCCTTTGCTGTGCAGATACTTTTTAGTTTGATGTAGTTCCATTTGTTTATTTTTTTTTTGTTGACTTTACTTTTGGTGTCAGATCCAAAATATCATTGCCAAGACCAGTTTCAAGGAGCCTACTTCCTATGTTTTCTTTTAGGAGTTGTATGGTTTCAGGGCTTACATTCAAGTCTTTTAATCTATTTTGAGTTAATTTTTGTGTATGGTGTAGGGTATTGGTCTAGTTTCATTCTCTTGCATGTGGCTGTCTAGTTTTCCAAACACCACATAGTGAAGAGACTCTCCTTTCCTCATTTTATATTTGTGGCTTCCTTGTTGTAATTTAATTGATCATATATGCATGGGTATATTTCAGGGCTCGTTATTGCTATGTGTACCTGTTTTTATGCCAGTGCCATACTGTTTTGATTATTACAGCTTTGTAATATAATTTGAAATCAAGGGTGCTTGGGTGGCTCAGTTGGTTAGGCGACTGCCTTCGGCTCAGGTCATGATCCTGGAGTCCCGGGATCGAGTCCCACATCGGGCTCCCTGCTCAGCAGGGAGTCTGCTTCTCCCTCCGACCCTCCCCCCTCTCATGCTCTCTATCTATCATTCTCTCTCTCAAGTAAATAAAATCTTTAAAAAAAATAATTTGAAATCAAGGCTTGTAATAGCTCCACGTTTGTTCTTTCTCAAGATTACTTTGGTTATTCAGGGCCTTTTGTGGTTTCATACATACATTAGGGTTATTTGTTCTATTTCTTTGAATAATGCCATTGGAAATTTGATAGAGATTGCCTTGAATTTATAGATTTCTTGGGGTAGTATGGACTTTTTAACAGGTTTATTTCTTGCAGTATAGGGCATGGAATATGTTGCCATTTTTTTGCATCTTCAATTTCTAACAGTTTTTGGTGTACAAAGCTTTACTTCCTTGGTTAAATTTTTTTATTTCAAATACTTTGTTTTATTGTTTTAATTACCTAAAGCTACAAAATGTGAGTAACAAATTTCTTTATAGTAGTTTCAGTTAATTTTCTTTCTTAAAGTTTTTATTTAAATTCTAGTGGGTTAAGATACAGTGTAATACTGGTTTCAGAACTAGAATTTAGCAGGGCGCCTGGGTGGCTCAGTCGGTTAAGTATCTGCCTTCAGCTCAGGTCTTGCATTGGGCTCCTTGCTCAGCGGGGAGCCTGCTTCTCCCTCTCCTCCCTAATCATGCTCTCTCTCGCTGTCTCTCTCTCTCTCTCAAATAAATAAAATCTTTTTAAAAAAAAAAAGAATTTAATGATTCATCACTCATGTGTAACACCCAATGCTCATCACAAGTGCCCTCCTTAATTCCCATCACCTATTTAGCCCATCCCCACTCACCTCCCCTCTAGCAACCCTCAGTTTGTTCTCTGTTAAGTATTTTATGGTTTGCCTCCTCGCCCCCCTTTTTTTTTTCACCCCTTCACCTATATTCATCTGTTTTGTTTCTTAAATTCCACATATGAGTGTGGTCATATGGTATTTGTCTTTCTCTGACTTCCTTGATTAAATTTATTCCTAGGTATTTTATTCTTTTTGATGTAATTGTAAATTGGATTGTTAATTTCTCTTTCTGCTACAGCATTATTAGTATATAGAAATGCAGAATTCTGTATATTAATTTTGTATCCTGCAATTTGATTGAATTCATTTATTCTAACAGTTTTTGGTGGAGTCGTCAGGGTTTTCTATATAGAATGTCATGTCATCTACAAACAGTGACAGTTTTACTTCTTTTCCAATTTGGATGCCTTTTATTCTTGCTTAATTGCTCTGGCTTGGACTTCTGAATATGCTGAATAAAGGTGGCAAGAGTGGGCATCTTTGTCTTGTTCCTGATCTTAGAGGAAGAGTTTTCAGTTTTTAACTGTTGAGCATGTTAGCTGTGGGTTTGTCATATATGGCCTTTATTATGTTAAGGTATATTTCCCTTATACCCACTTTCTTGAGATTCTTTATCATAAGTGGATGTTGAATTTTGTGAGATTTTATATATGTGCCTGTACACAAATATGTAAAAACACACACTATATATCTAAATAGTTCACAGATTATTCTTTAGTAGTAGTAGTTTAATGGGATATTGTTTAACCACTTCAATATTTTCCATAGCTAAGTCCTCCTAAGTTTGAGTTATTTATTTTTTAAATTGCTTTAAAACATTTTTTTGTATATAATAGGATTTTGTAAAGATATATTGGCATGAATATAAATAAAAGCAGTTTGTCTTTTAATAGGACAGCTTGAAGAAGGGCATTGTCAATGGAAATATTGTTCCAAAAGGTTATGATTTTGGTAAGTACATTTTATAAAATACATGCAGTTAAAGTAATCAGTATAAATTTAAATGAACAATGATAATGTCACTGTGATATTTCATGTTGATTTTTGTCATATAATTCAAGGTATATGTGCACGAAAAAAACTAGTTCTCTGTTCTATGCCATTCATTGTTGGGGAGCTTTTTGCTATATTTTGAAACTATAAGAGAGAAAAGTGTCCAAGAAAGGATGTAATGTGGTAAATCTCTAAGGATTATTCAGTAATAATTATAATCTTTTAAAGACATTTTACATGGCAAATACAATTTAATAAGGCTAGTAGTTGCTATAGTCTGTAGTGTGATCTTACTATTTTAAAAATGTATATTTTAAAATTTTTCTTCATACTTTTTTCTGACTCCAAATTTTCTGAAATGAACATGTAGTACTTTTATAATCAGAAATGAGTAAAATTTCAAATTGAAAGTAGTACTATTTTTTTGCCCTATAGGCTCTCAATAAATACTGATCGATGGATAGATAACTCATTTATTGGATTTGGTTGTCTGATGTCATTAACCAGTGATTCTTTTCTGTATTCTTCTACCTTCATGATGATACTTTATTAATTTCCTGACGTGGCCTTATTTATTTTTTTAAAGATTTATTGAGAGGGCTCACATGTGCGCAAGGTGGGGGATGGGCACGGGAGAGAGGTAGAGAGACTCTGGAGCAGACTCCCCACTGAGCATGGAGCCTCAGGCTACTGAGCATGGAGCTCAAAGCTGGTTTGATCTCACCACCTGAGATCATGACCTGAGCTGAAACCAGGAGTTGGGTGTTCAACCAACTGAGCCAGCCAGGCACCCTTGAAGTGACTCTTCTTGTTTTCACTCTTGAAACCAATTCAAAGCCTTGAAATGGATATTTTATTTTCTAGATTTTTTTCCTAAAAGGAAACATTAAGAACAGATGAGATTGCCTTTCATGTGTGTTGATGATTCTCCTGTCACTTTAGGTTTGACTGATTTCTCCTTTGCCCTACTATCATTTCCTGCTCCATTAGTGAGGGTCTGGTGAGGGAGAAACTACAAAGTAATTTGAGCAGGGGAAGTTTAATATAAAGAATTACTATCACAGGATTGGAGTAACAAGGGATTGGCTAATAAAAAATAGAGAGAACTCTAAAGAATATAAGAATAATAGAAGGAACTGCCCCTACCCTAGGACTAAGATGGAGTGCCCAAAGAACAGGGTCTGCCTGCCTCAACACTGAGATCTAGACCCTGTTGGAAAGGACATGACCAGGGCTCACTGACTGCCAGGAAAAGTCTCTCTGGTGCCAGGCCACTGAACTTGTTGGAAATTTGCCCTCAGAAACTTTAACGTCTCTCATGAGGAGTTGCTCATAGGAGGCACTTCACTGCAAAATTGCCTTAGGGTGCTGGGAGAAGTTGCCAGCTGCTGCTAGCTGTCGTGTACCTCAGCAGGCTAGTGCTGAAGAAATCTGTCATGCTCGAGGAGCTGACTTCTGTAGGACCCACTTGGTAGCATCTGGGTGGTGGAAAAGTCCCGATACTGCAAGAGTCTGTGGAACGAGCCCATTAGAACCGAGAAGCAGAACTCCCCCTGCAGTCTCTCTCCAGTGTCTAGTATTATGCTAGCTGGTAAAGAAAAAAAATAGTTAAAGGGCCCAAATCTAGCTTTTAGATTAAGCAGTGAAGGATGAATTTGGAATTCACAGATAAATTGATAACTGGTATATACCTGCTGGAGAGGGAAGGACTAAAGGCTTTTTTTTTTTTTTTAAATATTTTTTATTTGTCAGAGTACAAGCAGGCAGAGTGGCAGGTACAGGGAGAAGCAGACTCCCAGCTGAGCAGAGACCTCCATGTGGAACTTGATCCCAGGGCGCTGGGATCATGACCTGAGCCGAAGGCAGATGCTTGACAACTGAGTCACCCAGGCGTCCCAGACTAAAGGCTTTTTTTGTTTGTTCTTTATTTAATGGGAGAGACAACAGTTTATAGGCTGAGATCGGAATGATCTGTAGAATATGAAAAACAAAGCAAGAGAGAGAAGCAATAATTTATGGGATATGGGTGAAAGGGGATAGGATCTCGTGCACAAGCGGAGTGCTTTGCCACACAGAGGAACATGATTAGTTCATTTAAAGGACAGATTTTGGTGTAAGAGAGAAGTCCTAATGTTAGACAGTAGAGATGGTAAGAGGAGTTTATGGAATTTCTCTTATGAGCTCTTATTTTTTAATACCTGAAGTGTTGGGGGTTTTTGGAGGGAAGAGAGGCTCTGAAATAGTCATGTAGGTAAACAGAGTGAATTGACTAGAGTGGTGTTCTCAAAGTATGGTTCAGACTAGCAACATCAGTATTACTTGGAAACTTGTTAGAAGTAGAAATCCTAGGGCCCATTCCAGACATACTGAATCAGAACTTCTGAGAGTGAGGCTTGGCAATCTGTTTTAATAAGCTTTCCTGGTGATTTTGATGAATTTGAGAGCCACTGGGCTAGAGTTGGGGCTGGGTAGTTTTTTTGTTTTATAAAAGGCCACATAGTAAAAAGTTTTCAGTTTTAAGGCCATATATAGCCTCTGTCACATATTTTCCTTTGTTTCTTTTAAACAACCCTATAAAGGTGTAAAAATCATTCCTAGTTCATTGGTTGTATAAAAACACACTATGGGTATGCATTTGGCCCCTGTCCTGGACTAAATATTATATGACTGCTCAGCAACATTGAGGACTTTTAGGATTTATGACATTAAAGTGAGACCAATCTGTGTGATTGTGTACGTTTTTGGTTTTGTTTTGTTTTGTTTTTTTTCCCCTAAGCAAATTCAATTTCTTAGGTAGGTTACAGGTGTAGAGTAAATGGAGAGGGTTTTTATCCAGAATTAGAGTTTGGCCTGGTAAGTACTGACAAAGTGAGAAGACAGAGGAGTGAAGAGTGAATGCAGGGGGATGATTAGAATAACTGATTATAGAACTTAAATAGGGTAGGGAGGGTCCTGAGGACATGAAGTGGAGGTGAAAGACAAAGAAAAGATAAAGAATCAATGAATGATAGGTCCCACGGGACCTGAAGTTTTGGTATTGGAGTACTAGAGAGCTAGGTGGTGGTGTTAGGAGAGTTGGATGCTTGAGACTGAGCTTATGGAGAGGTCTAGCATATAAGTATGATAAGATCTAGTGGATGAAGTAAGGGTGGAGAAGTCCAAGGTTCTGAGAGGATTTGGTTTTGGAAGGATTATTTGTATGTTGAAATCACTTGGAAATTAGAGTTGCCAGGAGCTAAAATCAGAGAGACCTAGGAGAGGTTGTAACCTAGGGATGGAAAGAGATTGCAACCAGGAAGGTTATAGGGGATTGTGTAGTCTTGTATGTAACATAAGAAAGCTGGGGGAGAGGAATAATTTTATTTTTCAGATAGTGATATTATTGCTGTGTACATACACTTTTTAAACTTTCTTCCTTTAAAAGATGTATTTATTTAGAGAGAGGGAGGATGTGGGGGGAGAGGCAGAGGGAGAGGGAGAACTCCATGCAGAGCCCACCATGGGGCTCCATCTCACAACCCTGAGATCACGACCTGAGCTGAAACCAAGAGTTGGACCCTTAACTGACTGTGCCACCTAAGCGCCCCTAAATTTTCTTTTACTATTTCCTTCCACTTAGGTATATACTTTTCACTCTATGGTACTTTATAGATGTATCATGATGAATTTAACCAGTCTCCATTTGTTGAGTATCTTCTTGTTCTACTCAAGTTCACAGTATATTTGAATGCTCAGTGTGTAAAAAAACTAAGTGTTGTGCCTTGGAATGATTAAAACAAGAGGAACATACTATGTTTTTATATAGATTAGCTTATAATTTAATAGTTGATCTTGGTATAGATTCTGCTATTGTTTGTCTCCCTCTGCAAGAATATTCTTACTCTTTTTGGCACTAAATATAAAGGGTTGAGTTTAATCCATTTTAGACTATGGGTTGAGCCAAGAAGGTTATCCTGGGTTAACTCACTCATCTCACTTCTCCTTTTACAAGTTAAAATGGGACAGATGGATACATAGAAACTGATCAGAAGTTCAGAAATTATAACTCTATAATGGAAGTCAGTGGTCAAATACAGTCTTTTCTCCCTTGGCATTTTTAATGTAATTCCTTTAAACTGTATTTTTATTAAGATTATTTTATTATACTATTTTTGCCTTTTAGAGATTGTTCCTGCTTTTAAGGGTTATGTTGGTGTTTTGAGGGGGAGTTTACTTAGTCTTCATTTACTTAAAATATAAATTATAGGTAGGAAAAAGATAAAAGAATATTCTTTATTAATTAAATGACAGTTCATCTGACCAAATTACAGCAGTGTGGAAATCTGGGAAAGTAAAAAGAGTATAAGAAATGAAAATATTTTCCATTTCATCCCCTTAGTGCTTTGGGACTCTGAAATATAACTCAGTTTAACTTTTTAAAATTTATATTTTTCAGTGTTTCGCCCCATATCTGCTAATGCCAAACTTCAGATGAATCGGCGATCAGATTTTGACTTTTCTGCCCCCAAGATAAACCTGGATGTTGAGTTACATGACATAGCAATTGAACTTAATAAACCACAGGTGATTTTTTTTAAATGAAATTTTAAATTGAGTTATAATTTGATAAAAGCAGAACTAAGATTTTAAATGTATTTCAAACACAATGTTACATTGTAACATTTCCTTTAAAAAGTCAATAATTTAATTTTTTTAACAATTGAACAAAAAATCTGAAACATTTAAGAGTTTTTCCATTCTTCAGTATTTCAGTGTTATGGAGCTTCTTGAATCAGTTGATATGATGACGCAAAATCTCCCATATAGGAAATTCAAACCTGATGTACCTCTTCACTATCATGCCAGAGACTGGTAAAATGACTTATATTTTTTTTTAAATTGAGGTATAATTTGACATATTAGTTTCAGGTTTATAATGTAGTGATTTGATATTTGTATATGTTGTAAACTGATCACCACAATAAGTCTAGTTAACATCCATCACTGTATATAAGGACAGATTTTTTTTTTTTAATATATATCTTTTTATTTATTTGAGAGAGAGAGAGCGCACAAGATGGGGGAAGGTCAGAGGGAGAAGCAGATTCCCCGCTGAGCAGGGAGCCCAATGCAAGACTCGATCCCAGGACTCCAGGATCATGACCTGAGCCGAAGGCAGTCGCCTAACCAACTGAGCCACCCAGCGGCCCCAAGGACAGATTTTTTTCTTTAGAACTTATATCTTAGCAACTTTCAAATATGCAGTATAGTATTAACTATTGTGACCATGCTGTACATTATATCCTATTACTTACTTATTTTATAACTAGAAGTTTGAACGTTTTAATCCCCTTCAACCATTTCACTCACTGCCTGTGCCTCGCCTCTGTCAGCCACCAGTCTGTTTTCTGTATCTATGAGCTCAGTTTTTTGGTTTTTAAGATACCATATGTAACTGAGCTCATACTGTGTTTATCTTTCTTTGGCTAATTTCACTTAGCATAATGTTGTCACAGATAGTAAGATTTCATTCCTTTTTATGAGTGAATAATATTCCATTGTATATCTATATATCGTGTTTTCTTTATCCATTCATTCGTTGATGGACACGTAGGTGGTTTTTGTATCTTGACTACTGTATTAAAATAATGCTGCAGGGGCTCCTGGGTGGCTCAGTCGTTAAGCATCTGCCTTCGGCTCAGGTCGTGATCCTAGGGTCCTGGGATTGAGCCCCACATTGGGCTACCTGCTTGGCGGGAGGCCTGCTTCTCCCTCTCCCACTCCCCCTGCTTGTGTTCCCTCTCTCGCTGTGTCTCTCTATGTCAAATAAATAAATAAAATCTTTAAAAAAAAAATGCATTTAATATCAGGGAACATACATCTTTTTGTGCTAGTATTTTTGTTTTCTTCAGATAAATACCCAGAAGTAGAATTGCTTGATCTAAAAAAATTTTAAGATTTATAAAATACAGTTTAAAAGTGAATTTATTGACTTTAAGAGTAATTTTTTAAGATACTCTTTAAGGGCAGATACAAATTGTCATTTGATTTATGGCTTTTGCTTTTTATGTTAATAAAATTAAGGGATTTTTTTTTTTAAAACAAAAATGTAGGTACTAAAATACCATTAATTAACTGTATTTTTGGAATTATTAAAAACTATATCCTAGTTTGTATCTGGCAATGTCTTGTTAAAAAAAAAATCAAACTCGTATTAGATATGTTAAACGTATGTGATTAAAGTCGAAAATCAGGTTATGTGAGTCTGTAAAAGTACAGCCCCTTTTTAAAATTTAGAAGTCTTATTATTCCGTTTATTAAGCTCTTGCTGTTTCCTAGAAGTTGCAATTACTCTTTTAGTTGACTCTTAATTACTAGTCAGGTGACTGAAGTGCTGTTTGCCCAGTAGTACTTCAACAGTCTTTCTGTAGAGCTATATTTTTTGTAACAAAATTCAGTGATTTTGCTTGTTTTCACTCAGGGAAGAGATAAGATTAATAATTAATATAGTCTTAATACAAACAGGGCTGGGGAAAATCAAGTGCTCAGATAGTACCAGACTTTGAAAATGGTGTACTAAGTATAGTCTCTGTACTATGTATGCTGTTTTGGAGTAGAAGCAATTTTATATTTCATACTGTTGGCTTGAAGGTGTTCAGTGTAGGGTTTGTTTTTGTTTTTTAACTAGGTGGGCTTATGCTATACACGGTGTTCTTGAAGTAAATGTCTGCCCCCGGTTACGGATGTGGTCATGGAAACATATTAGAGAACACAGGCAAAAAATGAAGCAGTATAAAGAACTGTATAAAAAAAAGATAACAACTAAGAAGCCAACTGGTGAAATTCTCATGTCTTTGGAGGTAAGCATATTTAGAAATTGTTGAATATTTTGTACTACATAATTGCTCATTAGATTTCATTTTGACCATTTGCTTTTACTTAGACTTTTTCGTACTCCTGTTCTTCACTTCAGTTGGGTGATATAACCTCTGGTGATACTCTCCTGTGAGCTGTTGGAATTTCAGATTATTGTCAATCTGGAGAGATTTGGGTTCATGCAAATAGTAACTTGAAGCCTCACATTATGACTTTTTTAACCTCAAAGCCTAAAAAGTGTTTGCTACATTGATTCCAGTCTTTTCTGTGTCGGTTTCAAAGCCTTATACTACCTGTCACCACTCCATTTCCCCGTTACCATCGAACGGCATTAATTTCCTGTCTTTTATACATACTATGCTTACACTTGTAGCCAAGTCCATCTGCCTTTCCTCATCTCTGTTTATTCCAGTTTTACTCATTCCTCAAGCTCTGTGTAAGTCCCATCTCTTGTACGAACCTTCCTGAATTTTCTGCCCATTCAGAGTCCCTTTTCTCTTCATTCTTGTGGCATTTCTAGTCTTTACCAGCAACATTACATTTCATTATCTGTCTTGAGAATTCCCTAAATACTAGTCTTATCTGTTAGCATTATGGTGTATTCTAGAAGGGATTGTTTTATGGATGGATGATGTTTAGTTTAGGGAGACTGAGGACAGATAGCCTCTTGAAATTAATGTAACCATTCTGAATCTAGGCCAATTTCCAATTAGGAGCTTCCTAAAGATTGAGTTTTATTTTTATGTTTGAAGTAGGAGACTTTCTGCAGAAAGATCTACTTGGAATATATTAAAGATGACACACCAACTGTGCATATAATATGAAGGATTTAGAATTATATTTTTAAATATTGAGTCTTTTTATTTTTATTTGGTTTTATTAGTTTGCTAATTTTCTTTATGGATTGATTTTTTTAAAAATTTTTTTATTATGTTAATCACCATACATTACATCATTAGTTTTTGATGTAGTGTCCCATGATTCATTGTTTGTGCATAACACCCAGTGCTCCATGCAGAACGTGCCCTCTTTAATACCCATCACCAGGCTAACCCATCCCCCCACCCCCTTCCCCTTAGAAATATATTTTTAGTTGAAAGTGACACTAATGTATTTACCCTCAGTTGTAGTTAGAACCCAAATAAAGGTCATTTTAAACAATGCCTATATGGTATCTTTTAGTACGGGTCTGTGAATCTTAATATGACACCTATATGCATGACATGTATGATTTCTTTAAGAAAGTTACTCCATCATTGCTAATTTCCAAGCTGACATATATACAAGCACTGCTTCTCAGAATTTAAAAGAAGTATTATGTTGGTGGATGATCCGTTTTTTGCTTCCTATTATATCTTTATTGCAGCAGTTTGTTAGATTATATACTGAAATTTTATAATTTTTATAATCTTTCTATAGACTATGTAAAGTTACTCATTTAAACATACTTTTGTTTATATTTTAAGGAGTTGGAAAAGACCTTGGATGTATTTAATATAACTATATCAAGACAACAGGCAGAAGTTGAGGTAATTCCAGATTATCTTTCAATTGGTAAAAAATCTAGATTCCATGTAGATTTGACAGATGCAGTGGTATTATTAGTGTTGGGCCGTAATATACTGTTTCCTAAAAGGGGTTCAAATTTGCTTCTTTGTGATATAAGAAAAAGAGATTTGATGTTTTGCCCCATACGTTTGAATTAGGTCCTTTGGGGGGAAAATTCTTGCTAAATAATTTGGCTAAGTAATAATTCTTGCTAAATAATTATCAAACACTGAGTTCCTATGAAGGTGAAAATCCAATCTGGGGGGTGGGGGCGGCGGGGTGGTGTGATTACCGTGACTTGTAAGACAGTAGGGCTATCTACCTGGAAATTCTAAATTCTTATGTTTGGCTTATGTTGCATTACTTTGTTTTGTTGTCAGTTTGTATATTGTTTATATTTTTTCACTGGAATAGTTAAATTTTGTAAATGTCATTTTTCTGTTAGATTGCTAAATAAAGGATAATCTGTCATTTATTTGAAAATTTAATCATTTTAGGTAAAGAAAGCTGGATATAGGATTTTCAGAGAAGGAGCAAAAGATTCAGAGGAAAATAAAGGATGGTTTAGCTGGCTGTGGACTTGGTCAGAACCGAGAAATAAAGAACAACCAGACGTTAAGCCTGGAAGTAGGTCCATTTCATTTTATAGAGAGTGCAGTTAATCATTAGGTTAATTTAGTGCAGCTAATCATCAGTTGTGAAAGCAAAGTTTTGCAGAAAATTTTCTTTTTTTTTTTTTTGATTTTATTTATTTATTTGATAGAGACAGCGAGAGAGGGAACACACAAGCAGGGGGAGTGTGAGAGGGAGAAGCAGGCTTCCCACTGAAGCAGGGAGCCAGATACGGGTCTTGATCCCAGGACCCTGGGATCATGACCTGAGCCAAAGGCAGACGCTTAACGACTGAGGCACCCAGGTGCCCCTGCAGAAAATTTTCTAACTAAAATAAACATTATAAGCATATATATGTATCATATGTAATTTATCCTTATCAATAAAATTACTATTAAAACATTGTGCATATATACGTCAAAAATTAAATTTTTTATCTTAATGCTTACGAAAGAGCTTTATGCTCAGGATTTAATAATTTTATTAAATTATAAACGATTTAATAAGAGTATAAACAATTGTAAATTTTTGTTGAAATTATTTCTTGGAAAGGTTTTTGTTTCCTTACGAAATGTTTAAGATCATAGCTTTGGACACTCAGAGGCTTAAGTTTATATCCTGGATCTATCACTTACTGGCAGCGTAGCCCAGGGAAATTATTTAAATTCTCAAAACTTCAATTTTATCCTCTGTAAAATGGGAAATTATGATATTAGTGTTACTTATTTTGAATGCTAAGTACGTTGCTTAGCACAGTACCACTAAGTGCCTAATAACAGTCATTTTGTGAGCTTGCTTAATCCAAATATTTAGAAATTTCTATTGCTAAATTCATATATTTAGCAGTTTATATTTTTGGAGACTAATTCTTCTAAAATTGCCGGTGCCATCCTAACATTCAATGATTATAATTTCTTTTTTCTTTTTTTTAAGATAAAATTTTTTTTTATAATTTCTTAAAGTATAAAAAAGAGAGTTTGCCAATTGGTTTAAAAGCAGCTAAATTGTGGGTTAGTTTTATCTTACCAGTTAAGAATGCAAAACACTTCTTTATGATTATAGTTCTTGAAGAAATGTTGACCTCTGAAGAAAAAACTTTACTCTATGAAGCAATTGGCTATAGTGAAACAGCAGTTGATCCAACCTTGCCAAAAACAGTAAGAAGTTTTCTTGCCTTATACCTTAGAGTTTAATGGTAGATATGCCTATTTTTAATCCTCTCAGAAATGTTACTGATGTACTCTGTGATCTTTGCCTAGTCGGTACATATTATATTTATTTTAATTTCCAAGGTATGGATAAAAATTGCCCCTACTTTGTAGTGTTGATGTGGTGATTCTTTAATATATGAAGGGTTGTTTTTAAAGTATTTTTTGGTTATTGGAAAGAATAAACTATGAAGAAGAGTATTTGTTGTCTTTATATATCTATATATGCATATATATACATACATATATAAAAATATATAAATGCATAAATATATAAAAATTTATTTTCATTTTTTTCTCTCAATATATTCTAGTTTGAAGCCATGAAGTTCTTTGTTCACTTGAAAAGTATGTCTATTGTTCTAAGAGAAAAACAAGAGACACCTGAGCTGTTAGATATTGTAGTAGAAGAATTTAGCACTTTGATTGTGCAAAGACCAGGAGCACAAGCCATTAAGTAAGTATTTTTCTTTTACCAGTAAGTAAACATTTCATTGTGAGATTGGAAGTTAGATTACAGTCTTACCGTATTTTGTAAGGGTACTGTGGTTTAATGTATCCTTGTGTATTTTTAGGAACTTACATTTTGGAATTATTAAAAATAACACAGGTTCAATAGAAAACTCTATGCTAAGGAAATGTAGAAGGATAAAACAGAATGTCACCAATCACACTATATAAAAAGAAACTGCACCAGCAATTTGGTTTTTATCTGGGAATATCTTTATTTTACTTTTGTTTTTAAAAATAGTTTTATTGAGATATAATTAATATACCATGCAATTCATCCATTTAAAGTGTATAACTCATGTGTTTATCACACTTGTGGTATCATATACCAAATTCGCATTGGTATATTTACAGAGTTGTGCAACAGTTACCATTATCTTAATTCTAGTACATTTTGACACCCTAAAAAAAGAAATCCTTTTTAGCAGTCATTTCCCATTCTCCCCTCTCCCCAGTGTATGGCAACAACTAATTTACTTTCTATTTCTAAGAATTTGTCTGTTGGAGGCATTTCATCTGAGTGGAATCATACAATATATGGCCTTTTCTGTCCAGCTTCTTTCACTTAGCATGATATTTTCACGGTTCATTTACGGTATAGTTTGAATTAGTGTTTTAATTTTTTTCTATTGCACAATAATATTCCATTGTATGGATATACCACATTTTGTTTGCCCAGTCATCAGATGATGGATATTTGGTTTGTTCTTTTTGGCTGTTATGAATAATGTTGCTCTGGATATTTACAGACAATATTTTGTATGGGCAATAAGGCTTAAATTTTTCTGGGTACGTACTTAGGAGCAGAATTGTTTCCTCATATGGTAACTCTGTATGTAACTTTTTGAGGAATTGCCAGATTGTTTTCCAAAGCAGCTGCACCATTGTATGTTCACACCAGCAGTGTATGAGGTTTCTTATTAATCTATATCATTGCCAACACTTTTGAATTAGAGCCATCCTCATGGCTTTGTTGATATTTCATTGGTGTCTTAATTTGCATTTCCCTGATAATTAACAGTATTGAGCATCTTTCCTTGTGCTTATTGGTTGCTTCTGTATATTCTTTAGAGAAATGTATATTAACTTATTTTGCCCATTTTTAAATTGAGTTGTCTTTTCATTCAGTTTTAAGAGTTCTATATATATTATTGATGAGAATCTTTTATCTCATAAGAAATTTATAATTATTTTCTCTTATTCATTGTTTTTTGGTGGTATTCTTTGCCAGATGTTTTTGGTTTTGATGAAGTCCAGTTTATTTTTTGTTGTTGCAATGAAGACTCAAGAAGTCTTTGCCTAACTCAAGGACACAAAGATAAATTCCTGTGTATTCTTGTGAGAATTTTACACTTTTATTTCTTAAATTAGGTTTATGACCCATTTTGAGTTAACATTTATATATGGTGTGAGTTTGGGGTTCAGCTTCATTCTTTTGCATGAGGTTATTCATTTGTCCCAGCAACATTTGTTGCAAAACCTTATATCCCCATTGAATGATCTTGATACCCTCATCAAAAAGAGTTTACCATAAATGTAAGAATTTATTTCTGGACTTTTTTCTATTTCCATTGATCTCTACAACCTTCTGCCAGTAGTACACTGTGTTGATTACTATAGCTTTGTAGTAGAATTTGAAATTAGAAAGCTTATCCTCCAGTTTTCTTTTTCAAGATGGTTTTAGCTCTTAGGATATTCTTGAATTTCTTTTGTATCCATTTTTGCCAAAAATTTCAACTTAGATTTGATAAGGATTTTTTTGAATCTGTAGATCACTTTTGGGTATTGACATTTAAATGGTATCTTAAAATGCATGAATATTGGATGCCTTTCCACTTATTTATCCTCATTAATTTCAACAGTGTTTTATACTTTTCCGAGTACAAGTTTTATATCTTGTTTGTTAAGTATATTCTCATGTATTTTATTGTTTTTGATGCTGTATGGGAGGAAAGCATTTTCCTCAACCCTTTTTGAGTGCCTGGCTGCATCTGAAAATTAAATCTGACAAAGATTAGCAAGGGAGAAGCATACAGATTTATTTAACAAAAGTTTAATAAAAGAATATTCATAATGAAGATCGAAAGAACCAGTTAGACTAGACTATGTTAGGTTTGATGAAGAGTGGACAGTGTGAAGGAATATGATAGGTTGAGTGTAAGGTAAGTATGGTAGACTGGGAGGAACTTAGCAAGCCCTGTTTTTTAGGACTCCTTTCAATTTACCTTTGTTTTTAGAGATAAGGATGCTTTTTTCCTCTAGCTATAAGGAGGGTACCTATTTATGTGAAGGTTTTGTGACCTGTTTGAGGCGGGGGGAAGGGTATGGGACTATCAGAGTAACTTTCCTGCTTCTGCTGTTTTCTCAAATTCCTTCAACTTAAAATACTTACTATGCCAAGGTGCCATATTTTGGGGGTAATGTGTCCTGAACCCCATCAGTGCTTACAAGTGGCATCGTGTTCTTAATTTCATTTTTGGATTGTTGATTACAAGTCTGTAGAAATATAATTGATTTTTGTATATTGATCTATTACCCTGCAGCCTTGATAAACTTGTTAATTAGTTCCAATAGTTTTTATTAAATTCCTTAGGATTTTCTGCATACATGAGCACTGCATTTGCAAATAGAGATAGTTTTACATCTATATTTCCAATGTGGACACCTTTTCTTTCTTAATTGCCCTTGTTTGAACCTTCAGTACTATGTTGAATAGAAGTGGTCAGAAAGGGCATCTTTTTCTAGTTCTTTATCTTAAGGAGAAGAGCTCAGTCTCTTGAATATGATGTTAAGTGTGGGTTTTTCATAAATGCCTTTTATCAGTTTTGAGAAATCCTCTTCTATTCCTAGTTTGTTGAGTTTTTGGCTTTTGTTTATGTTGGTTTTTTTTTTGTTTGTTTTGCATGAAAGTTTGTTAGATTTTGTTAAATGCGTTTTCTGTGTTCCTTGAGAAGATTGTGTAGTTAGTTTATGTCCTTTATTCTTTTGATTTATACCTTCTTTTAAGGTATTCACCTTAATTAATTTTTCATATGATAAAATAATGGTATATTCTTTTGGTTGTATGTATAATCTTTTTTATGTACAGCTGGATTTGGTTTGTTGGTGAGGATTTTTACGTCTGTGTTCATGAGAATACTGGTCTGTAGTTTTTTTGTGATGGCTTTGTCTATTTTTTGGGATAATACTGTCCTTATAAAATGAGTTGGGAAATGTTCCCTCCTCTTTGGAATATTTTGTAAAGAACTGGTATTAATTCTTCATTAAACGTTTGGTGGTAGAATTTACCAGTAATGTCATTGGGGCCTGTGGTCTATTTACGTTTTTCGGTTTTTTTTTTTTTTTTTCCAGTCAGTTTCAGTAGTTCCTTTTCAGGAATTTGCCCATTTCATTTCAGCTGTGTAATTTGTTGACATGTAGTTGTTTACAGTATTACCATCTAATCTTTTTTTTCTGTGGGGTTGGTAGTAATGTTGTCTTTCACTCCTAATTTTTTTGAGTCTTTGCTCTTATTTCTTAGACTAGTTAAATTTTGTTGATCTTTAAAAAAAAAAAGTTTTGGTCTTGTTTTTTCTATATTTTTTTCCATTCTCTGTTTTATTATTTTATCCTCTAACCTTTATATTTTTTTTTTTACTTTGCTTGCTTTAGGCTTAGGTTACTTTGCTTTTTTCAAGTATCTTTAACTGGTATGATAGTGATTTGGGAATTTTTTTTTTGTGAATGTATGCATTTACTAATTCATTAATTTTATTATAATGACTTTATAGAAGTAAAATTGATATCATAAAATTAATCATTCTAAAGAGTATAATTCAGTGGGATTTAATACATTCATAATGTTGAAAAATCACCGCTCCTATCTAGTCAAAATATCATTACCACAAAGTGAAACCCCATACTTATTAAGAATCACTCCCCTCCTCCTAACTTTTGGAAGACACGAGTCTGCTTTCTGTTTTTGGATGTGTCATATAATGGAATCATACAGTACGTGACCTCTTGTGTCTGGTTTATTTCACTTAGCATAATGTTTTCAGGGCTCATCCATGTTGTGTATATCAGAATTTCATTCCCTTTTAAGACTGTACAATATTCCATTGTATGTATTTACCACATTTTGCTTATTCTTTTCATCTGTTCTATGGAAATTTGAGTTTTTTCCGCCTTTTGGCTATTGTGATAATACCACAGTGAACATTCATGAGTGTGGATTTGAGTACACATTCTTTTACTGTGCACCTAAGAATGGAATTGCTGAGTCATAGCACAATTCTTTTTTTAACTTTTTGAGGAAGGGCCAATGTGTTTTTCATAGGGCTGACAGTTTTACATTTCCATTAGCAGTGTACAAGGATTTCAAATTTTCCATATTCTTCCCAACACTTATTTTCTTGTATGTGCTTTTAAATTATAGTTATTCTTGTGGGTGTGAAATGTGGTTTCTCATTGTGTTTATTTGTATTTCCTTAATGTCTAATGATATTTAGCATCTTTTCATATGGATGTTGACATCTTCACATCTTCATTGGGTCCATTTTTAAAATTGGGTTATTCTTTTTGTTGGGTTGTAAAAATACTTTATATATGCTAGACTCTAGATACATGATATTTACTTCCATTCTTTAGCTTGTCCTTGCATTTTCTTGATAATGTCCTTTGATGCACTGTTTTAATTTTGATGAAATATAATTTATCTGGTTTATTTTTCTGTCATTGCTTATGCTCTTGATATAATATATAAGGTTTGTCTAACCAAAGATAATGGAAATCTAGTCCTATATTTTCTAAGAGTATTAAAGTTTTATCTCTTACATTTAGGTTTATGATCCACAATGAGTTAAGTTTTGTATATGGTATAGACAGTGAAAACAATTTGATTCACTTGTATGTGGATATCTAGGTGTCCTAAGACCACTTGTTTAAGAAATTATTTTTCCCCATTGA